TCAAAGGGTGGACCGTCGGAAAGGTTGAGACCGCACCATTGCAAACAGAGTATGGTAGGGGACATAGGCGAATCATGCACAACAGTTTAAGACCATCGTACTTGAGTGTCAACGCGAGAGCAGCGAATCGTTTGTCCCGTTCCATCATGCGGTTCACAAATTTTGATAGGATCGTCCGCGACACGATAAAGGAACATGTGGATCCTAGCACTGTTGCAGTGGCATAGAGGATCCAGCTAAGATGAGTGTTAGTTCTAGGCTCATAGGCTCAGAGTAATCGATCAAATAAAGCAGAAAAAAATAAGCCAAACCTACCCTTTCCATATGCCGAAAATGAAACCGGCTATTGTTCCAAACGTGGACCAACCTACCAATGGTGGGAAAGAAACGAAGAAAACGCACAGCCAGAGGACGAAAAATGCCAGCCATGACTGTTCCCATTTTTCAGCTACAGGCCCCAGCCAGAAGAACACTTGCCCCGTGAAGATCATGAATGCCAACCCTAGCAGAATGGCAAGCAAAGCTGCCCCAATAGCCCCAATTCTCTGCCAGAATGTTAGTCTCCGCCATGTCTTTTTGGTACGTCGCAACATCTTCGTGACTTGATTGACGACTTGATCACGGAGGCCAGTTGATTCACGGGCAGAAGGGCTGGCAGTATTGCGTCTGCTGGATGCCAGGTGGTTCCATAATGGCTGTGTATCTTCTTCGGCGGGCGACAGGGATTCCGCAGGCGACATTGGAAGCGATAGAGCCCTCGCAGTGGACGTATAATCTGCAGGCATCTTCAAAAGCGTGGAATCTTATCCGGATTGTCCTCCGATGATCGTGAATCGGCAATGACAGGGTCGGCGCTTAGAGGAGTAGGAGCATGGATACAAGCCGGCCAACATTCGAGAATATGCCAATCGCAAGATTGCGATCAACTGCGCAAAAGATATGAGCCTTCTGGAGCTCTGTTAGGGAAGGAAGCTTCGAAGGTGTGCAGTAAAATAGGTAGGTAGGTAACGGAATGATCGATGAGCCGCGAAGCAGGGGTGCCGAGAGAGTAATCGAGTTGAAGTCAGGAAACCCCCATCAGATGTCGAAATGGAAGGATATTAGGGAGATGTCGTTACCCAACTTGATTAACCCTTGAAATTAGCCGTCATAGTGAGATTATCTCTAGGCTGACGCCGTGATGTTGTACCTGGCCATTCGAAGTTGGAGGTTTCAGCTGCTGACTGTACACACAGAGCCTATCTAGTCGCTAGTTAACTAGTTACCCGATACCTAGGTGAGTGACTAAGGCATTCATCATTTACGCCTTCACCTCTCAGGCGCAACTGAACTTTGTTATTTAGGTGATGTCTATGTATCTCTGTTTACAAAATATTTGTCAGCAGATCTTCAATGATGTACATCAGCTGCGAGCGCCCCGGAAAGAAGAATAATGGATATCAAGATGTCGTAAGTATTGCATCTCCTCCGCTGATTGACGATCCTTTTGTTATCTCGAGCCAAGGAATTTGGTGCCTTTAGGCCTGAGGTTCCAGATCTTCCCCCACATCCGTGAACCTCATTTCGTGGTTGAGAACAACATTAAACAATTGTGGAAGATAGTGTCTCGAACATTTTGGGCCTGATCTTGTCAAAGATCTGGAAAGAAAAAGAGAAAATCATGCTTTTCTCCAACACAAGAAAGGGTGACCTCTTCGTCCTAGTAGGAGCAGATACGTAGCAGAGTAGATCCCTTGTTGGAAGCCAGTAGCTTGAGCGCCTCAGTGTTATGGCTGTCAATTCCCTGCCTGAGTCCCGTCCTCCCATCCAGTAGCTTAAGCTCCGTTGACCACGATTCCCGATCTCTCGTCCATCCTCCTCTTTTCTGTTCTCATCCTTGTTTATATCTTCCTTCTGTTGTGCAAGCGTTGATCTCTCATTTATACTGTTTAGTTGAATTCTGTTGCCTCTCTCGTTCATCGTCTTTGATGAGTTCTTTCCTTTGACAGATGCGATGTGATCTTACATCCTCACAGTTCCGCAATCTGTCCCCCTTTCGCATGCCTACGCCCCTCCGTTAGCTGACACCACCACCAACCGATTGTGATTCGCATCGCTTTTCTGTCTTTGGAGAACAATGGATTCTCATCTCTGAAAAGGTTCTCAATCTCAAGTTTCGAATACGCCCTCATCGCCGTCCGAGAATTTGACGACATTTACCCCTCATCTTCATATTACTGTGCCGCCTTACCTCGCTCCGCTTCTTTCGCTCTCACCCAGTCGTCTATCGCTTCATCGAAGCATCTACTCAGGATGATTTCTGACGACCTTCTTGACAGTTGTCTACAGATCCTTCAGGACAAAGCTCTTGATGAAGAAGAACAGGCAGAGAAAGTTGAGAGTTTCCTGCGGGAAAACACCTCCTTGTCTGGAGCATCGCTGGAGAATGCGGTGCTCGATGTCCTTTGGCGGCATCGAAATCGCACATTGCCCGACTCTTCCCCTCCCCCTCCTCGTCATACGGTGATCCGCCGGACGTCACCAGCGCCATGGCAGATGGCACGCTCCTCTACACCTTTGTCTCCTCCCTCCAATCTAGGCACAAGCCCTGGCGGCTCATCCTGGTTCCAAGGCTCACGAGGCTTTTCTCGCGCACCTCTTTCATCGACCGTATCACCATTCACCTCCCCGCGACCATCCCCAAGATTAGCCCTTGCGCAACCTATCCCCCATTCGCCGAACCTTAATGCTTACGAATTCTCGGATCAGAGTCAAGTATCGGACTTTTACAGTGACTTTGGCAATGATAGCAATGTGGATTGGCTGGTTGCAGACGATGCGCAGAGCACCACCTCGTCTGTGGGGACAATGAGCGCCTCGGGTGCCCTCAGCGCCACTGCCCCGGAATTTGTTCCCGATATGAGCCCCCACGATATCTTGCGCACTGTGCTTGGAGATAAAAGATCCAATGAAGAGATTGAGGCTGCGCTGGAGGCAAATGGTTATGATCTCGGCGCGACTATTGCGTCCCTCTCACAGGATCACGGTGGAGGCAGCTTCAGTCAGTCGGATGATGGTCGTGTTGTCGTCGGCAAATCTATGACCATGGAGCAACCGAGATTAAGCACGTCCCCGAACCACAATCGAAGTCCTGTTGTCTGTAAGTATTGGCTGTCTACTGGGCAATGCCTTCGTGCAGACTGTCGGTTCAGCCACGATCTTACCAATCATGTCTGCAAGTAAGTAAATGAAACGTATATGGTGTATGGGCTTCACACTGATACGTGCTTCAAAAGGTACTGGATCATGGGCAATTGCCTTGCGGGCGATGGATGTCCTTTCTCCCACGACCCTTCAGCACTAATTGCGAACCTCAGTGTGGGAGATGGCAGCCAACAGGGCGGTCCGACATTTAACGTAGAGAACACCTCAGAAGCTTTCCCTCCGTTACAGTCTGCAGGAGGAGCTGGGGAGCAATGGACGAATCACTACATTGGCAAGTATCCTCATCTATCAGGTCTTGCGGGAAACAAATCTCCACAAACAATGCAGCTTGCCCCAGGGAAACGCAACGGCCACGGGTCTCGTCCGCATTCTCGCCCAACGAGCCGTCACCAACATCGTGAATTGAACCCTACAGCGCTTTCCGTAGATGATCCAGATGCATTCCCCACGCTTGCTGCAGTGAGCGCAAAGAATGCTAGTAAGAAGCACGGAAAACGCAATAACCGAGAAACTGGTTCCCTCAAAGAGAATCTGCCTACATCTTTGGCGGATGTTGTCCGTATGTCTCCGTCCCCTGCGCCTGGCAAAGGCAAACCCCCGTCCAAAAATAGCAGAGATGGGACCAAAAGCCGCGAAAACAGTGCTGCTGCGCAGTCTATCCCAGCTCCGCAGAATATTCCTTGGCTTGAGACTGGCTCTCGAGCCAACCAGCAGTATATCAAATACCGTACGGAGGCTATTCGCCATGGTACAGTGAGAAACAAATTTCTTCAAAGGTAAGGGGATGAGGTAACCGTGATAAATTGCGCAGACTAACATGTCTCTTAGCGCTGCTCAGGCCTGGAACCGGAACGACGCTAGAGCCGCAAAAGCTTTGTCTCTTCGAGGCCAGGCAGAAAATGAAGCGATGCGTAAGTGCCATCGCGAAGCGGCACGGCAATTGTATGAAGAGCGGAACAAGCACCTCCTTACTGCCGGTTTGGATGAGTCGTCCGAAGAACTTTACGTCGACCTTCACGGCCTGCACCCTGAAGAGGCAATTGAATATTTAGAGAAGATCCTTCTAAAACATGCTCGTGAGGGACGCCGCGTGATCTACGCCATCACAGGCACGGGTCATCACTCGAAGAATGGCAAAGACAAGATCGGAAAGGCTGTCAAGGCTTGGCTCAACGAGTGGAAGTACCTCTTCCGTGAGTTTAGCGTGCCCGGGGAGAGGGGGGGATATGTAGGTGGCATCCTGGGAATCGATCCCACCAGCTATGACAAGACTCTCGCGAAAAGTCTGGAAGAGGGTGAGAATGAGAATGGCGGTGACAGCAATGGTAATCAACCTGTAATGACAATGGGCAAGATTCAATTGTTAAAGCGCGAAGATTTGGAGTCGAAGAGTCCATAATCGCGTGTCGTTCTCTTTTGAAGGACAACGTGCGCTGTTGTCCGTTATTGCGCTCAGGAGATGACTCGAAGGACCTCTCAATCCCAAAACCTTGACTGAACGTTTCTTCTCACCATCATCGGGAGAGCAAAGTATGCCACCATATTCTCGCCGCACGCAGACGACGATTATGAGATTAGTTCGTTGCTGTTGCTTGCTCTATGGACAGGCCTAATCGCGCCTCGATCGCGATGGTACTTCTTCAATTACGACGTATATACGAGTTAGATACATTTAACAAACACTCCTAACGTTATATTGTCATCAGCTATTCGAGATGAGTCATTAACCTTCCTAGTAAAGCCGCTGAGAACCTGCATGTGACGGCAAGGACAGAGGTGCGGCAGGCAACATTTTTTCATTCGGGCTCTTGATGCCGCCACTTATCTTGCAATTCCTCTACATCAAATCCGCAAGCCTCCGCCTTCTTCACAATCGCGCGTGCTTTCTCCGCGACAGGGATGTCGATCATCTTTCCATCCAGAGTCCAGGCGCCGCGGCCTGCCTTGGCTGCTTTCTCATCCGCAATCGTCACTCGCACAGCCCATTGGACCTCGGCTGGTTCCGGACCAAAAATACGCTGTACCGTCTCTACCTGCGAAGGATGAATACACTGCTTCCCGTTGAATCCCATTTGCTTTCCTCCGCGACATTCTTCCTCCAAAACCGCCGGTGGAGACCCATCACCCTTGGTAGACTTGTAGGCTGTACAGACCAGATCAATTGTAGACGGCAGATTCGCAGCGCGAGCTGCAGTCACGATGGCGGACCGAGCGAACAAGAATTCTGTTAGAGATGGAGTGCGGGTAAGACTGAGGTCGAGGGCGAAATCCTCCGCCGCGAAAATCAGACCTTGGAGAAGGGGAGTCGCGGCGCAGATCTGGGTCAGATTCGTCAGGGATTTAGCCGACTCAACCAGAGCCAGAAGTGAGATAGGGGGCCGTGAGGCTGCATCTTGCGAGTGTGGCTGTTGCGAGAGCGTGTGGGAGATGACATCCGTGACAAAGGTGAGATCCGAGGCGGAATTTACCTTGGGGATGACGATGGTGCTCAGGTTGGGGGATTGGAGCTGTTCTTTTCGTTAGCTGGATTGTTGACTTTGGAGGATTTGAGACTCCACATACGACTTCGGTCAGATCTGCCAATGCGAGACCGCTATCTACTGAGTTGATGCGAACAGTGCGTTCGCGGATACCCGAGGGAGCGGGCTGGTCAAGCGCTCTCCGCACCAGCGAGCGAGCTTCCGCTTTCTTGTGCGGAGTCACGCTGTCTTCCAGGTCGTAGGCGACGCAATCCGCCGTCAATGAGCGGGATTTGTCAATAAAACGCTGGGAAGATCCGGGAACTATCAGTTAGGCGTCAGCCAGGACTATTACTCAGGATCGAGGTTGTTTTGTATGCGCCAAGAGGGGGATGGTTGTCTGCGGGGAGAGCTTGTTCTGTGGATTAACGATTAACATACTGTATAGAAGGGCGCGACGGAGGGTATTCCTCGACGCCATTGCTGTCTGAAGGAATATATATATGATTTAAATCAAGACGATATGCGCGGAGTAATTCAGTGTCTTCGAAGCACTTATTGCCAGTTGAAGAGCATGCCAGGATGAAAAGGATATTGCTGTGCTATGTCCTCGGTCTGAGATAAGATATAGTCTAGGTCCGGTCTTAAGCATACTATGTAGGCTTCTTAGATTGGGACCTGAGAGCTTAGCCGGGCCCTTTAATCGACGTCATTTGCCATAAATTCTGCTGGCAATTATGTTCTTGCCTTATCCGTTGGCCATCCAATGTCCAATTATATCCATCTAAACATGCAAGCCAGGCTCTAATGGCAAAACGATCTTGCTCCGTAATTCCACAACTTCCTTTTCCCCATGCAGAGAGTTTGTTTTGCTTTTCCGCTGTGGAGCATATTCTGCCCTCATTTACCGCCTTGCATACGTACGCAAGAGACACGCAGCATCATGTATACACATCACGCGGATTGCTGATCTCCGTTTAAAACGTAAGAGCTTTATAGCGATTGCTATTTTTCTGTTTAGCAAGAGGTTGAAGACTCTTCGTACGGCATCATGGACCAACCTCTCCAGGCGCAGCAGGGTGAACTGAACTGGCGTCTCAGCGCCCATCCGATCACTCTTCTGTTCTTCCTGGGGTTCCGCACCAGTGCGCTGTTGATGTATCTATTTGGTGTTCTATTTATCAAGAATTTGTAAGTTTCCCAGGTACTTTGGAGTTCACTGGTCACTCCGTCTCATAGCTTCTCTTCCGCTAACACAATTCACAGCGTCCTTGTCTTCATCCTAACTCTCCTCCTCCTCTCCGCGGACTTTTACTATTTGAAAAACATCGCCGGTCGTCGATTAGTCGGCCTACGCTGGTGGAACGAAGTCAACACCGCTACCGGCGATTCCCACTGGGTCTTCGAATCCTCCGACCCTACCACGCGCAGCATCTCGGCCACAGATAAGAGGTTCTTCTGGCTCAGTCTGTACGTGACACCTGCGCTGTGGATCGGACTCGCCGTTTTGGCGATCGTGAGACTGAGCAGTGTTATTTGGTTGAGTCTAGTGGGTGAGTTGTCCTATTCTGATATCAGCAGTTGTAACGGAGTCAAAGGCTAATACAGTCTCAGCCATTGCGCTGGTGCTGACCATCACCAATACGGTTGCATTCTCTCGCTGCGATCGCTTTAGCCAGGCTTCTACGTACGCTAACCGGGCGTTTGGGGGCAACATTGTGAATAACCTTGCTGGGGGTCTGCTGGGCAGACTTTTCAAGTAAACTGTGGTCGAATCTATGCCATGTATGATTTTGTCATTTCCTTCCGGGGACAGTGGTCCGATGTTCTCCTTACTTTTATGTCATTTTTAGGGAAGAGACAGATAGCTGGAGCGTTGTATGACTATTCACAACTTTATACTATGAATATAGGTGATACTCGGTCAAGAGGGATCGAATGATTATTACTGGGGGTATAATATGGTTGATGACCAAGTATGTCGATGGATCTGTCTAACACAGATACTAAGCTGGTTTCGTCAGCACAAGGTACTTTTGTTATTACTGGGAATTTTACTACCTACAGCTGAGATAAAGTGACAATTTTCAGACTGTATTATGCCTCCTGACATAGAGATTACACATGTGTGTCAGTTTTAGGGCAGCAGGAATATTTTTAAGAGAGTCTATGACCCAAGATAATGCTACTCAGATTCCCGTCCAGGGACTTTTAAGTCTTAGACAGGAACCTAACTTTACATACCTCAGGCCTAGTTGTTGGATTACACAGATTTGATATACTAGAGGTGTGTGATCTCACACTGTCTTATCAAACCCAAGACAGGACTCTCAGATTATATCTTAAAGTCTCCATCACAGTCGTAGTAATAATCCAAAAATCCCGAGAAAATCGCGTTTTGCCATATTCTAGCCAAGCGCCATTGACACTAATGTCTGCCTTGGAAGAATCCATGTCAAACGGCAAGGCGGAAATCGAAAGAGTATCAGACGATTTCACCTTTAATGCAGGTTGACTGTGCCACAATTTCGATAGGAGGTCTTTCAACGCCCTCGTGTCACATACACAAACTCCCTGGGGTATGCAGCTAGCTCAAACGAGACGATGGGATGCGTAAACGGCTGCTTTTTTGCCCCTTTTATTTTGGCGTCAATGGCTGTTGGTTCTGCCTTGATATAACTAATTATCCTGATATCGTTTGGTAAGTAGAGGCAGTCTGTGAATAGGAATTCTGTGTTTGATTTTCACATACCTCCTTTTTCAGTGATGTATCACTGTCTCTCTCTAATGGTTCTCATCAATGCATATTGTCCTGAGGAGCAATACCAGCTCAGGTAGACACTCCCCTATTGTAATATAGGGTTGCTTATAGTCAGTGACTTGAAGTCAATGATGCATTACACCTTGTAAGCATAGAAGAGAGCTAATCTGCTCTTTCTGTTCCCCTAAGGTGATACTTCACCGTCTGCTAGATGCACTCAACGTCTCGGTGTAGAGGGGATTTTTCACAGAGTCTCGGCGTAGCAGGACTTTTTCGCACGATCTCAACCAGTTCAGGCATCGATCGTTTCCTCGGGTTTCAGCCTTTCCAGTCCTTCATCATCCTAATTGGTTTCTGTTGGTTGCCAGCACTTTGCCAGAGAAGATACATCGACTCGCTAGCTGATTATCGTGGTCATTTTTGTCTTTGTCCGGAGAGTCTGAGAGTCTGAGCCCAGGCAAACGCAGCCAGTGCTGAAAATATCTTCCACAGCCCGAACAAACTCAGTTATAAAAGCTTGGGTAAACATCCTTTCTCAGACTGTGTCTTTTTGCTCTTTTTTTGTTTGTTTCCTCAAGGCCCTCGTCTTTCTCCATGCGGAGAATCACGAAAGTCTCTAGAACTCGCTGGTCAGAGTCAGAGAAACTTCGGCTTCTCAATTACCGGGATAGTCATCCTGACTTGCTTTGGGATCAAATCAAGCAGGTAATATGACTATAGTTCATATATCTGAAGAATCATAGCTGATCTCTTCTATAGGCTTTTCCAGGCCGCAGTGGGAATGCTCTCTGCAAGCAGTACTCTGTGAGATGGGATGATATAAAGAAATATGTGCATTGCTAATGCTTATAGGACCTGAAAATTCAACGTGAGAAGGACGCTCAGAAAAAGGTGTGTTATCTCGTGGAATATCTTGTGTAATAGTCAGAGTTTGATGCTAACATACCTCATACTGATCAGGCGAACAATGGTAATAAAGCGACTGAGGAAATGGTATGTCATCTCAATTGTAATATTGTCTGCAATAGTCACAGTGCATGCTAATATCCTCGTGTTGATCAGGCGAACAATCAGAATAAAGTGACCAACACTACTCAGCTCAGTAATAAAAACAAACGTCTGATGGACCTCGAAGGAGACGACGAGACGCTCCCCAGAAAGCAACCCAAGACCGGTGACGCCGCAGCGAACACTGATGATGACCCAGATTTCGATCCTAGCGAGGGTACTGACTCAGACGGGGGCGACATTGACCCTGGAGGTGACATTGGCCGTTCACCTACTGCTCGTCAGCTTCGTAATACGCCTCGCAAGCAGCTGAATGATATTGTCGTGCGCTCGGCTTCTGGCCTCAAGCGCCCATCCAAGATTACAAAGCTGCAATTCACTGGTCGACCTGGTGCACGCGGTTCATTCAGCACAACACCCGCTAGCCCTGACCCTTGCACACTGCAGGACGCGAAAAAATCTACCAAAACTACCAAAACTACTAAACCTGCATCTGCCTCGTCTCAGCCAACACTTTCAGGTTCTCACTCTCCCGAGAAAGCCGCAGAAACGAACAAATCTAAAGCAACCTCTGGAATCGCGTCACTGGTGCAGAGAACTCGTCCAAGCTTACCTCCTGCAACCAATCGTCATTCTGCACAGAATCAACAACCTACTGCCAACAAACATTCGCCATCAAAGCCTGAACAGGAAATGGCTCCTCGTCCTCCCTCTCCTCCTCCCTCTGCTACCACTGTTCCCATGGAAGCTGGAAACAATGGATACCCACCCATGCAGCACGGAGCGCACCTGCTTTTCCAGGCAGCTACGGCCATGACAGATCTCCCGATAGAGCGTGCCCGTAACGCGCAGTTGGAAGAGAACAATGATTTCCTTATGAAGGAGTTACTGGAGTTGAAGGAGAAGGAAGCCGAATGGAAACAAGAGATTGAAGGGCTCAAGGTCAATAACAGAAACCTCGAAAGCGACCTCAAGAAACAAACCGATCAGGTCAAGAAGCTCGAGGATGAACTGAAGGAGATGAGTGAGAAGAAGAACCAGGGTGCTCCCGATTCCGCCAATGGAGCCACCAATACCAAATGCGAGCACTGCCTTGAGCATATCACCCGCCTCAACGCTCTAACCGAACAGAATAAAAAAATCAAGCAGAGATGCAAGGTTTTGGCAGAAGCATTCGCGGCTGGCAATGATCAAGCCTGATAGTGACGCCAGACCAGGTGCACTTACTTACAATCCAACTTGATCATTAGCTTGGTCATTGCATAGGGTTGTGAGAAAGTGATATGGTTGCCGGCATAATGATTCTGGAGCAGGAGCTGATGACCTTTGTGTACTTTTACTTATCGCTATCTTGGTGTTGTTGCTACCATTACTCGGGAGAACCTGCCTAGTTATCTCTGTAACTAGGGTTCTTAATATGATGATTTTATGACTTCTCAAATGATTCTTGTCTCAAGGTAGAACTGTAGGATTGCCTAAGTCGCGATACCGGACTAGCATAGTATGAAGTGTACCTTAAGCCTATCAGTAGGTGGTGCAATATAATCGCTATTCGACAAATATAGATAGACGGAGGAAATGAAGCCATACAGCATGAGGATACTCGCGACTGCCTACATGATATAATGAAAACCATGACAATCGGATATTCAAACTATATAAACCAGACTGCAGATTCATCGAAATTCATCGGCCTTTGCACAGAATCCATA